ATATACTATTTCTAGTTAAGAAATTCGTTTGTTATTGTTTCTTCTAATTTTCTTATAGGCTTTAACAATTTGATTAAAATTAATTCATCTTTTCCAGTAAAAGAAGAGACAGGTATATTTTTTTCTATAAAGCTTTGATTTAAATTTCTCATTATTTTGGCAAGTAAAGTATTTTTATCATAAGACTTTTCCCTAATAGATCTTCTTTCTCTATGTTCATTAACAGAAGGTTCTTTATTGTTAACTTCCTTGTCCTATTTTGCATCATCATTGGAACTTAAAGTGGTCCAATCATAATTATTAACTTCATCAATACTTGTGTAATGAAGAGTTTCCCAATATTCATAATTAATAAATTTTCCAAATAGAGACTCGTATATCAGAGAATTATTACAAATATCTTGAAGCATTTCATTAATGGGTATTTTAATTCTGGTTTTATCATTATTGATTACCATAATAGTCTCTTGATTAATTTTTAAGGTCTATTTATCAGATATTTGTTGTTTTTATTCCTTTAAAAATTGTTGCAACCCTTGCAATGCTTTGGTAGAGAATTGGTTAAGAAGATTCATTTAATTGCTGCATTTTGTAATAATCGAATAAATAATAAAAAAGACTATATATATAAATTAAAAATAAAAATTTTCTAATTTAATTATTAAAGAATTTTTAAAAATTTAAAAATTTTGGAGAAAATACTAGAACAAAAGGTATATTTATAAAAGTTGAACTTTGTGTAATGATAATTTGAGTTATAGGTAGGTCCTTAATTTTGCTTGGCAATTTTTAAACTATATTCCAACTAGCAAGGAATATAATAGTTTAGTTAAAAAACTTGAAATAGCTATTGATTTACTTCAATTCAGATCTCTTTTTATCTCTGAACAAACTTATATCCTATTTGAATATTTTAAAATCTCTAACCTTTCTTGGGGCAATAGAAAATCCAAACCATTATCTGAAGAACTTTGAGACAACAGACGATTTGTCAACTCTGATTTTAATATACCAGCTTAACCTTCTGTTTATTATTTGGAATTCTCTAATTCTAACAATTTACAAGAAATTATTTATACCTTACTACCTAAAAAAAACTCTGCTTCATTATATCACCTTTATACTGCAACTGAGTATGCAGAACTAAAATTATTTGAAACAGAAATAGATGATAATACTTCTCTCATGACAGTATTCTTCAATTATTCAAGTATCAACAACAACACATATTTTTATTTCATCTTGATTAATTCTTTATGAATATTATCCAATACCAAAATCGAATTCAAGATCATAAATTTTTACATGACACTAATCAAGCTATTACTAAAGCAAAATATGATAGTAGACCTGATTCTAGCTATTCTGAGTGTAATCCACCTAATTTTAGCTCACATTATTCCTAACAATTTGTATGATTTTGAGATTGGTATAGTTATAAATACCAAGCTATTTATATTATCTGCATAACTATTGATATTTTTGAGGAAGTATATCAAATTACAGAAAGCAATCTTGAATCTATACTTTATCTGCCAACAACTACTATCTGCTATAATAATAATCAACCACTTAAAGAGTTTGGATTAATAGTATTTGAAATAAAAGCCAAGTAGATAAAAACAAAAAAATTTAATCTTACATCTGAAAACTCTAAGGATTCTAACCAAGAAACTGATACTGAGTCTAGATTAGAAATTGTATTCTCTGATTCTAATCTCTCCAATCTTTTAGCAAATACTCTAAGTAAAAAAATTGAAAAGGTTGATAAACAAATTCAACAAGGTATAGATCAAGCTCAAAGTCTTATTACATAGTTGAAAAGCAATTTAGAACCAACTAAAGAAACAACACAATCAACATCACATCCTTCTTCTTCAAATAATCAAACTGATAATATAAAACTTACTTTTGAACAAGCATATAATTAAATAGTTGATAATTCTAGAAATATATCTTGATAAGCCAGATCAGAACCAGAGCATGATAATAATAATAATCAAATTACTCATATAGTCAACAATAATTATATTAATAATAATAATCAGAAAAAAGATTTACAATCTAATTTATATTTTCCAAATACTTCTGATAGACTAGCGGAAGAGTACAGCGAGCTGAGAAATCAGAATAGACAACAATAGCAGCAACAAGTGGAAGATAGACCAGAAACTTCAGAATTTGATATACAAATAGCTATTTAAGAGATTTTAAAAGGCTTGAATAAAGTAATAGAAAAAAATAATACTTGAGCTACTATAGCAGCAACTACTAATCAAAAGAAGTATAAAATGGTAGATTTTCCTATCTTCTCAAGAAACAGTGATGAAGATCCAGTCAAATGGCTTGAAGCCTTCACAAGAGCATATGTTAGTAATAATATATGTAAAAATAGATGGCTTGCAATAGTGCCTAATTTTCTTAGAAGAAATGTATTATCCTAGTACGATTAAAACAAAACAAATTTTGCATACTGGATGAATGATCTCCTATCTAACCAGTCTTTTACTAATCTTTTTGAAGAAAATTCTGTGATCTATTTAAAGTATCCCAATGGCATTATACTCTTCAAAGCAGAAAACAAAAACCTGGTGAAACTGTGAATATATACAACTCTGCTCTTGATAAATTATAGCATAGAGTAGATCCAAATGGTAATTACCCTGAAGTTGACAAAATTAGACAATTTATTAATAGTCTACATTAGGAATTTCAGATTCCAGTACAATTTGAGAGTCCAACTACTCTTAATTAAGCTGTAAACAAGGCAAGAGCTATTGAAGTAGCATATTCTAAGAGAAGTGCTTTTTCTTTCTATTCTTTCTTCCCAACCTTCTTTTAACTACAATTCTTTGAAGAATATACTACTCTAGCTTATATGATAGCACTTACTCAACTACAAAATAGCCTATGAGATAATCTTATGAAAGCTACACAGTATATTGTTAGATCTATACAACAAAACCAATTGAAATCCCAACTATCTCAAAACCAAAATCAAAACAATTATAATAATAATTATAATAACAATCATAACAATAATAATTACAATAATAACAACAATTATAAACCACCTTGCCAACAAAATAATAATTGTTTTAGATGTAATCAATCTGGACACTTTGTATCAAATTGTACTACTCTGTATTGCAATAATTGTCAACAAATAGAACACATAGCTAGAAATTGTCGATTGAATCAAAATTGGAGACCCAACAATAATAATAATAATCACAACAACAATAATAACTAGAATAATAACAATAATTGAAATAATAACAACCATAATAACAACAATAACTGTAATAATAACCATAATAATTAGAATAACAATAATAACAATAATTATCAAAATAATAATAACAACAACAATAACAATAACAATAATTCTTCTTCTAACAACAACAACAACAATAATAATAATAACAACAATAACAATAACAACAACAACCAACTTCAACATTTAAACTAGAAGAGGTATCTCCTGAGGATAAGCATACCCAGAATCAAAACCTCTCATTCAATGAAGAAGAAACATTATATACATTTTTGTTGGATAAGATAGATGAGTTGTTAGATAAAGAGGATAATGATAACAATAATTTAGAAAAACAATTTCATAATCTCTGGACAAATTATGAAGAAACTATAGAAATACTTGGGTTGAACTCAGGTAAAATTAATTACAATATAGATAATAATAATATCCAAACTAATCAGGTTAAAGATGCACTATTTACAATCACTAAAGTTTTAGGAGTAACTATTAATATTCTGGTTGATACTAGTTCAAAAAGATGTGTAGTTGCTAAACACTTCCTTGACAAAGCTAATCAATTAATTAATGAGCCTAGTAATATTAAAGTTGTTAATATTACAGGAAATAAAACAACTCTATTAAGACAAGTTAAAGATATACTTGTTCTTTTAGGTACTAAATTAATTCATGTTAATATGATAATAACTAAATTCAAGGAATATAATATAGTACTTGGTAATGAATATTTAATTAAAGTCCAAGCTACTATCGATTACTATGGTGAATATATGAGTATTGGAATAATAGACCAAATAAAGTATATTCTGATATTTTGTAAACAACAAATAGAAGATCCTAAAACTGTATATCAGATTAATTTCAAAGACTATTATGCTAATCAGGAACTAGAATTAGAGTTAAAAGATGATAATAAAGCCACTACACTGACTTATACAACTATTCAAGTTGGAGACACCTTTGTCCAATTTGAAAAACAATTAATAGCAAACATAAAAATAGAAAATGCTAATAATCCTTTAAATCCTTCTCCACCAAAAATTTTTAAATTAGTACAACTAGAAATTAAAAAAATTAAAGATAAAAAGAAAAAGAACTAAAAAGTATCTATACTAATTAGCAAAAACAAATCAACCTTCATTAGACATATCTTAAATAATAACCAACAACAAATTATAACCCAACTACTATGTGAAAATGCTAATATTTTTGCAACTGAATTTGCTAAACTGAAAAAGACCAATATCATATATTATACTATTAATACTAGTGAATCTTACTCAATTAAACAAAGAGCTTACAGAGTCTCACTAGCTGAACAAAAATATATTAAAAAAGAAATTGCAAAGATAGAAAAAGATAGCATCATCTGAAAGTCTAAAAGCCTTTGAAGTTTTTCTGTTATTTTGGTTAAAAAGAAAAATAGCAAGCTTAAATTTTGTGTAGACTTTTGAAAACTAAATAATGTGACAAAGAAAGACACCTACCAAGGATTGATGACATGTTGGATAACCTTGGTAATGCTCAATAGTTTACATCTTTAGACTTGACTTCTGAATATTGGCAAGTAGAAATCAAGGAAGAAGACAAAGAAAAGACTGCATTCATAACTAAATATGGTCTTTATAAATTTAATATTATGCCTTTCAGATTATGCAATGCTTCATCAATATTTCAAAGACTTATAGATGTAGTATTAAGGCCTGTTCTATAGAAAAAGACTATGGTATATATTGATGATGTTAATATATACTTCACATCTTTCAAGCAACACATACTAGATATACAAGAGGTGTTCGAATTAATTCGACAAGCTAATCATCAAATTAATCCAAAGAAATACCACTTTAGCATCAATAAAATACAATTTCTTGAATATGTAGTGGGAGTTGATAGAATCAAACCAGACTTTCAAAAGATTGATAAACTAAACAATCTTCCTCTTCTTAAAACTATTACTAACTTTGAGTCTTTCTAGGCTTAGCATCTTATTATAAACATTTTATAGAAGGTTTTTCTATAAAGGCTAGACCTTTATTAAAACTATTAAAAAAAGATGAACCTTTTATTTGAGAAAAACCCCAAGATGAGGTTTTTAACTAGTTGAAATATTGTTTAACACATACTGCTATATTACAATGGAGCTATAACATATATTACGTAATATTTTTTACTATAGGGAGTACCCCCTCTCCCCACATAAGATCTTTTTTATATAAAATTATATATAGTATAAGGTAATTTTTTGCCCTCTCTTACCCTAAAATAATATGTCAGCACCTATATCCTGATTACAATGAACTTTTATTCTTTTCACTAATACAAAGAGACCTCTCTAAATGCACTCTCTCGGGACCATAGTAAAAAATTTCAAAAATGTGTACTTAGAAAGGGTGTGCATTTATAGAGAGCAAAATATATAATGCTATTATAAGTTGGGACCAGACTAAACTGTGCATTTAAAGAG